GTTTGTATCTCATCTCCGTCAAACTCCACACAGTCCCGCCACCGTCAAAATTACTCCGCAAATGAATTATATGGGCGGTTTGAATAGCCCATCAAGAGAAATTTGTAAGTTTCTAAAGTGCATTATATAACTGTTATATTGTTATGTATTGAGATCTAGATTGATGTGATCATTCAATCGAAGTGCATTTGTTTTACGTTGGTTAAAGAAAATAAGTTGATTTTGAAAAGAAAATGTGTGGTGTATTTGTCTATTTTACACAATTCAAATGATTTCTGAATAGAAATGAATAAAATGTGCTACTATCAAATAAACGGGACCTTATATCTGAAATTTCTTTTCCGAATTTTGATCGAAAAAAATCACTTCTTACATTCGACAGTACAACGAGATCATAATTGTGCCAAAAATATTCGTATTTCTCAAGACATTGTCTATGCTTTCCGTACGCTACGATTGTTTATATTGATTATAAACTGTGGCACGTATAACGTCGGTCTAAAACGTTAAAGGCGAAAAAAAAGAATTATCAGTGCATTCAATTTTGTGGCGCGTTATTCAAAATCTGATTCACGGCGAAGACGTCGAATAGAGCTCTATTCAAACCAAATATATCAACATACAACAGAAAGCAGTCGGTACTCGGTAGCAAATATGATGCAAATATAGAAAAATTCAATTCGAAATCAGTTTGCCTTTTTTGGTGCGATAAATCCGGAAAACTTGAAGTTTAACAATACATTTCGTTTCTCATTTCAGTGCGTATCTCTTTGTTGTTTACGGTGTGTGGAAGAAATCGAATTTCGTTCTATTTTGTAGAAGATGACGTTGTTTACTGTGTTTATTCTATACATTGCTGTCATGTATGAGTTTAATTAAGCTACAATGCTGAATTTTTTTTTTAAATTTGACTGCAGCCAAAATATGAAAACTATCGTTAAGTTCGCTTTTTTCTTGTTTAATCTGAAATTTTCAAACTATAAAATAAGTGGTTAAGTCAAGAAAGTAGTCAGTTCTCGTTTAACATTTGAGCAAAAATAATTAGAACTATCGAATCTTTTATACTGTCAATTCATTTGGAATAGTGCAAAAAATGAAATATTTCCAAATAATTCTCTGCTTTCAGCCGTTTTTGGTTGGCGTTCTATCAGGTATCAAATAGTTTCCCAATGTTTTTTTTCCTACAAAATTCTTAAGAAATCATTTTAATTATAATATTCGTGTGCGTTTGAAAGTTTACTTACGCACAGATGGTGGGATGGAGGGTGATCTGACAAATCCTCTTTTAAGACCTGCTCAACGAGGTAATTTGAATCATTTAGAATAATTTCAAAAAATGTGAGAATAATGAAACTTCGTTCAAGTGTAGCTTGCAACGTGTATTCAAACTTACCAGTATCATGAATTATGGGCGGCGAAGCGGCCGGAGAAGAACAATTCCGATGGATATCCAATTTGTGTAATTCTTTCAAATAATTCAACGATAGTTTAATATGCATTTTTGAATTTAGGCGGCTCTGGGCTACATACAAACAAAAGGCAATGGAATCGATTTTCGCGGTGGTGGTACGATAATATCGCAGAACTTTATACTAACAGCGACAGGGTGTATAAATCCATCACATCCCCCTGTTTTGGTTCGATTGGGTCAAGTGTGTGAAAAATCAAATTCATTCAAAACACTTTTGTTTCATAAACTTTCATTCGTTTATTTTTTTTTTTTTTTGAAAAAGCTATCACTGACTGACAACCTTGTCGATGGATATGACGATATAAATTACCAAGTGAAGGTGAAAAAAAAAACCATTTATTTCCTTCGTGTTTTTTGTTTATAACCATTTTTGTTCTCAGGATACAATTCAGCATCCAGAATATTCGTCGGAAACCGAAAAGCATGATATTGGACTGGGGTGATACAAATATTTATGGTAGTAACTAGGGGGCAGACACGTGGAATAGGATCAGACTTTTAGTGTAAAGATTCGAGAAATTGCAATGAAATAGCAACTCATGTGGATCGATTCGCGTGGAATAGCGAAACAATGCATGGAATAGCAAAAATTGTTTCACTTCAAATCCATTTGACATTTCTTTTGACGTTTATTGATGGATTAGTGGAATAGTGCGGAATAACATAATTAACATTTTTGACGGAAACAGTGCATGGAATAGGAAAAATAGTTTCGATTTCACATTTGTGTTTTTGGATTAGTGGAATAGCTGAATTAGTAATTTATATAGTGGATTCGGAATTTATTCTTGGTGTCTCTCCCCTAGGGTAGTAAGTTTAACCCTCTAGTGCATAGCCCTGCCTTTAAGCAGGGTGTATAAATTATTGTCTAAAATATATAATAAAAAACAAGTGATTCTATTTATGAATTAAAATATATTCAGAAGGGTTCAGGCTTTCATTTGTTGGTCATTTGACAAGTGAAAATAAAGCGGTTTTTTAATTATACACACAATTGTACGCGAAAACAGAAATATTACAAAAAAAAATTATCTCTCTTCGATTAAAGCAATTTTATAGCAGTTTAAACAATGGTTTCGATTGTTCCTATTGACTGTTCTCCAATCTTGTCAATGGCATTTTTTGAGTAAACTATGAAATCTTTTGAATTTCGATTATTTTTTCAAGAAATTTTAAACCAAAATAATCATAGAAAAATAGTTCTTATGTCGAAAAAAAATTAATGCATTAGAGGGTTAAATTGATTTTGTCACTTTTTCATCGCATCAGAGATGCCGAATGAGTTGATGAAGGCCCAGTTAAAAACAATGCCAATGACCGAATGTAATTCATTTTTTTTTTGGAATTCAATCGAAACCAAAGTGATATTGATGATCCAATGGTAAAAGGTCCCAGTGATATTGGCGTTTATTGTACATATGATCGGGAAGGAAGACAAGACAGTTGCTTTTGAGACAATGGAGGCCCACTCCAGTACTTTCCAACTAATCAATCGGCAACAGCAACCGTTGTTGGCATTGTACCGTTTTATTATAAATGCGGTGTTCCTTTACCCGGAATTCACATCCGAGTTGCTTATTACTTGAATTGGATTGAACCCATTGTTTGGCCTTCGAGGCCCGCATACAAAGGTAATTTCATTTGAAATTTTACACCAATTGAACAGCAGCATTAAATTTTATTTTCATCTTGAATCTTGATATTAGCTTGCACCAAGTACTCAAATCTCCCCATAGAATGAAATTTCCTGAAATCACGAATCTTAAACGGTGAAGAGGCGGCACCGGGGGAGTTCCCTTCGATGGTAATATAGGTGATGACGAGGGTTCCTAGGGGTCGGATGACCCCCCTAAAATATTTCTAGGGATTTTCACCTCAAAAAGTGACTTCCAAAAAAAAAACGATTTTTGTGTCATTTTTGGATTTGCAAGGCAATTTGAAGTAGGAAAATTCTTTTGATTTGCTAGGGATTTTCGCCAAAAAAGTGACTTCCAAAAAAAAAAACGATTTTATCCTTATTTCGTACAAAATGTTAACATCGTCAGGGATCCCCCATGGATTTTTTCAGGAACCCCCTACAGAATTTTTACGTCATCATCTATGGTAAGCTCATTTGAATTCAAAACAATTTCTATTTTTCATATTACTATTTCATCGTTTTCTTTTTTTGTTTAAAAATAGGTGGCTTTAGCATACATTCGTAGTAACAAAGTGGTTTATGACTGCGGCGGAACAATTATATCGGAATATTTTGTTATGACCGC